ACCGGACAAGACGGAGCGCTGGACATCTCAGCTCGACTCACTGTATTCAAAAAAGGGAAGAGGTCCCGGCGGATGGCCTCCACTTTAGATTTTAAAAATGCTGCAAATTGGTCCGGTGTAAAGCTAGGGGGAGGCCTATCACCCGGGCCAATTCCGGATAGGTCACGTACTATACGGAATAATTCCGCCTGCTGGTTGGATGCCTCACTTATCCGGTTAGTGAGGTAGGTTCGACTGGCAGCCTTTACCTTGGCTTGGTAAAGGTTAGTAGCGACCTTAACAGCTATACAATTGAAAACCGTCGGGTCCTTTCTCCATTTGCGCTCTAGCCGTCTCCTGACCCGCTTCGACGTCCGGAGATCCTGGTTAAACCAGGGCACCGGGCGATCTCTGCGGCAGAGAGGGCGTTTAGGCGCGATCGTGTCTACGGCACCAGCCGCGGCGGTGAACCAGCCGTCGACCAGAGCCTCGACAGGAGCGCCAGCCAGGTCAGCCGTAACCCCTCTCATGTGGTAAGTTAAAATTAGACATGTGGTAAGTTAAAATCCCAGGTTATAGAGTATGTTTGCAAAAGAGGGAAGGAAATAATAAAACAACTAGAGCGCGTTTTCTTCCATGCAACATATGCTGTACTTTAGAGTGCCGCATTCCTTTAGCATGCCTGACTCATTTTTTCCTATTAATATCAAATTATCAATGATACTATGTATACTATATTATGTACTGTGCCTGATGCATTCAAGTTCTGTTCGTCCTCCCTTCTCTTTAAAGACCCATCCTCATCTCAGGATACTCTGTATTGAAGCTATGTGAAAGCCAGCCCTAGTTTCCCACAGAGGTCTCTCATGGTGGCGAAAATATAATACCATGAGATGAGTAATTCCAGGCTACCTTTCTGTTGTGACTTGTTTTGTGCTCCTTTCTGATATTGCCTTGGTGGCTGCAAAGCACCCAGATCCCTCTCATGTCATGTCTAGAGACCTCTTAAGGCAGGAGCAGGGTCCCAATTGAGACATCTTAGAAAAGGCACATTGCATACCCAAGATTGTTCTTTTTTCTTAATTTATTTATTTATTTATTTAACTTATATGCAGCCCACACTACCCGAAGGTCTCTTTCTTAACTGAAAGGAGCAGAAGGACTACTTAAATTTGGCTGTTATCAACAGGCTCAAATACTCTCTAGCAGCCTCACCTAAGAGTACAGATTGATAGTCTGGTTTATAGTCCATTCATACCACTTTCGCACTTGCGTTCAGTCATAAGACCATTCAGTCCACTTTCTAGAGATCATCCAACAGTTAACGAAAATGAAATTCATAAAAATTCAAACTTCCAAATTCCAAATTCAACCATTTAAATTTTCCCACCCACATATACATTTTGTACAGAACTTTCTGTAATATGTGCATTTCTGTAAGCAACTTTCAGTAACATACATAGTACTCCAGCTGAGATGCACAATTTTTTTTTAAAGTGTTTTTTCATTTGAAGCTGAAAACTGGATCTCAGCATTTGAAGTAGTTTGTGACACAAAGGATAAGCATGTGCCAATCAGCATGTTATGCTGGGAAATATGAATTAGGTCAGTTTACTTAAAAATACACATGTACTTGAGAGTGAGGATCTGTCAAGTCTTTTGAGTTTTGGATTTTGTTGGATGAACAAATAAGGCTGGAGTTCGATTCCCCACTGTGCCTCCTTGATAAGGGCTGGGCTTGATTATCTATAGGGTACCTTCCAACTCTGCAATTCTAAGATAATGATGGCGATGATGGTGGTGGTGGTGGTGGTAGGAGTAGGCTCTGCACAGTTTTATCCAGATTCAACAAGTGATTCTACTCATCCATCTGAAAGATAATTTCCCAAACTTCAATGTAATCAGAATCAGTTTTAAATCTGTAAATCTTTGAAAATTAGAACATCTATGATTAGGTCTCCCCCTGCACACACAAAATATGTAATAGTAATCCTGAACAGGGTTGAAACATTTTCCCAACCTAAGCAAAAAGACAAAACCACTCACTCCTTTTGAAATTCACACCCAGAAACGTAGGATGGAAAACTGGCACTTCTTTGGGATGTGCCACCTGAAATGCTGGTTCAGGCTGGTAAAGAGCTACTTCCTCCAGCTGACTGTTGTCCTTTCTGAAAG